GTTTAAAGTCATCTTTTGATCTCTCCTATATGCTGTGGTCTTGTTCTAGTCATAGCACAATTCAGACAGAAAATGTGCTGTTGTCTGAACAATAATGAAACACTAAACACGTGGAAATCCTATTAGTGTTTCATGGACCGTAGCTGTCATTTCATTTGCTCTGGAATCCCTTCCATACGGCCATGACAAAGGTTTAAGGTTGAGTGTCTTGACACTTTGAATGCATTAGCTGTTCCTCAGACAAAAGTCTGTCAAGCATACTGAAGCATCTAAAGGGATGTATTTATTTCTGGAAGTAATATATTAAATAGAATTAGTGTTGGTAAGCCTTGTCTTGAGAGAGAAAAGCACAGTACTAGAATTTTGTGGGGTTTTGTTTCCTGGTGAATGTTAGACAAATGTATCTGTTTTTTGTAAACTTCTCTTTTTCTGTTTCTGGTTTTTGTATCTCCTCATTCTAAACAAGGCTGCCCCAAATCTCTTTCTCAACTGCAATTTTTCAGAAGTTTATATACTTTGCCATTCATTTTTCCAAGTATAAATATACACAATATGATAGTATTCATTTACAATAATTATAAACTGTGTAGCTAATATAATTTCCATGAATGAATATAAAAGTGCCATCTGTGTATTTCTCATGTAATAGAAAACCAAGCTGAGAAGTTACTACTCTTGTTAGTTTTGATCCCTTTTCCTGGTCATGTTTGTCATTCTTGTCTGCGGTTTTTGTTAAACTGATCATTCTGGGTTTCTTGAGACAAAGTTAATGGAGCTGCATATTTTCACATCACATTATCAGGTAAAAGATTCCTATTGTATCCAGAGTAAGCATTTGTCATAGGTAAGAACTGAAAGAGGGCATTGTCAGCGTTACTTACCATACAGTTCTTTATGTGCATTTACAATGCTGGTGGGCTTACAGGAAGGCATGGATGGTTCTTTTATGTATTATTGGTTGCTATTTTCTTTCATTTGTGCTTTCTGTCTTGGAAATTCACGGTGATAGAATACCAATTGTTTGCCCATATATAATCCAATTTAGTTATTATGTAGTAGTGTGAAGTTTCTGCAGCAAGAAGAGAAATGTAAGTATTATTCTTGAAAATAGTGAAAAAGGATCATTCAGTTAGAGGTTTGGTAACGATGAGATACAAATAAATTCAGGAAAATGGCAAAATTAGGCATACTTGCTAAAATAAATTAAAAAAATTGGTTTTCAAGATCTGAATATAATCCAAATCATTGGAACAAATTGGAGGCAAAGAAGAGAGGCAAAAAAGGTTTTATTTAAAAAAAAATCATATGTAAATGTGGTTTGTAGTTGGACCTGTAAGTTTTTACTATCTTATTAATTAAAATCTTAGGAATTCTTCTTGAAGAGTTTCCTTCACAGGTTTGATGGTTATGAATTGCAGTGGCAGATCTGCAATTCTGCTAGGCAAAAGATCAACATTATTCATACTGATATCTAGTCCAAAGGTGTTTGTCCCATACATCATTTATGTAGGTTAAATTCTGTTGGAAGAATGCTTTCAATGGATAATGATCTTCTGGCTTTGTGCAAACATCATTGATAACTGTTATGGTAGTAGCCAAGAAACGTGAGTCATTTCTAGTTTCAGAGTACTCATAAAGAGTTTTCTAATTGGTGTCTTCGTATCTATGGTCCCTTGTGTCCTAGTCAGGATGAACTGCAAAACTTTCAGTGCAGTGTAATTTCTGGTATTCGAATGACTATGGGAAAAGCATTTTACCTGTCTTATTCAGTGATTAATTGTTGCATTTTTCATTTAACTAACTGTCACTTACAAAAAGTCACATATCTTTTTGGAGTTATCTGTTCATAGAACACGAACATTTTTACAAGAAAAGCAATTTCCTTGCAGTGTTGCATTTTTTCCCCCATAGTTCTTCCGTCTTTATTTTGGCACTTTCATCTATGTTCACCAGTTTCCTTACATTGTTTTTCTGTCAGGGCCTGCAATTGTTCAGTTAAATTTGTGTGAGATTTGTCTATAGCTATTCTGAATCCATGAAGAGATCCTATCTCTCTCATAAGCTAATGAATCTTTCTGTCTTTCACACAAAACCATGTCATTATATGAAATAGTGGCACAGAAACTCACTTCTGTGCTTTTAGTTTGCTCTTGTGAATTGTGATCTGGTAAGCAGTGAGGAGGCAAACCTGGAATTTATGCTGTTTAAATAAAGTCATTTAATAATACGAAGTTCGTAAGTACAATATGTGTTATTTCACTTACTTGCATTTATGCTTTATAAGTTACTTTGTAAATCAATTTAACATTTAGATTTGCATTAAATTAAAACATTTACAGATTTTTCCACTTATTTATCACAAAATTTCTTTACATTTCTGAAATATAGGTGCCACAGTGAGTAGATTAGAAATGCCATTTGCAGGGTTTTGTTTTCAAACAGTAATTTTCAACTTCATGCACAGCAGATCTGTTGTCCAGCTTTGTAAATTTTAAATGGCTGCTAAAGCTGGATCCAAGGGCTCTGGACAGTAGGAGTGAAAGTTAAAGCCTCTATACTGGTACAAACAGTTGAGGATGTAAAGGTAGCAGATTTGTGGTTTTGGAAATGACATCACTGTGCACAGGAAGCTGTGATTCTCTTCTCATATCTTCTATGAAAGTGACTGGCAAATATATTCTTTAGTCATCTTGCTAGCAAAAATTATGCAAACAGTAATTAAAACTTTGCTAGGATTAAAAAGGAGGCTGAATAAATGCTGCATACTTTTTGGTGTTCTGAAGCCATTTCTGTAATTCCCTAACCAATGATGAAACACAGAACAAAATAGACAAATGCTTTGAAAAGAAGGTCCACAGAGGGATTTATATTTCCTTTCTCTCCCATATTCCAACTATTCTCCTTTATGAAATGACAGGTTTATAGATTTCAGAGGCAAAGACTTTTCTCTGAAGTTGCACATATATGACTAAAACCAAAATGGGACTGCACAAGCCAAGCCATGATTCACAAGAAAGTTACCTGTCAAGGGAGTGCCTGCAGTTGAGGCAGGAGCCCCCTGGACATCTCCAAATTGCTTGGCAGACCCTGTAGCCAACAAAAGTGCTAAACTAACAGTGGTGCAGAGACTCGGCTGACTGAGGTGTAAGTGGGTGTTATGAGTTGCTCGTAATTGCTGGAGATTTAATATCAAGTTAATTCAAAACTGTTGCAACACCTTAATTAGTGGCCATGGTCACTTCTAACTTAACTAGTTTCATATTCTGTTACCTATTCTTCCCACCAGGGTATCCTTGAAACTCCTTCAATGCAGTGGCTTTCCTGTACAATCCAAAGCATTTTGTTCCTTGCAGACTACTTCTTTTGTACAGCATGTAGAATATAAGATGTAAATAATGCTTTCCTCTCATATAATTAGGATGTTAAGTCTCAACTAAAGAAAAAAGCCTACATTGATTTTTCTTTGCATGTGATTTTCTTTACAACTCTGAACTTACAGCATATTCCTAAGGGTGCCGTAGAGTTTTTTCAGGTGTAGAGGAAAATTGTTTAATAGCCAATAGCTGTTCTCCCAAAATAGTCTAAATAGTTGGGGGGGGTGGGGGGTTGGGTGTATGGAAATCAATGCACCCAAGTAAGGTCATCTGCTCACAGTGATTAGAACACAGAAATAGTCCTTTTCAAAGAGGTAGAATGTAGCACAAGTTATTTTGATGGATTACAACAATCTGAACTAATTTTGGTAATGTAAACATTGGTGTGAAATGACTGCAGTCCCATCCCTACTGCATTCAAACAAAGGTAGATGCATTTCAGTCTGGATTAAATAAAATGTCTGTTTCTAATGTGGTTTGGCTAGCTGGTGTAAACCGTAGCATTTTGACCTGTTTGTAAGGCAGGTTCTAGTGGACAATAGAAAGTGTTTATCCAGCATGGTGTCCGTATGTTTGCTCTGATCAATGCTAGCTGGGCATGTTGTGACAGAAACCCCTTTTTTCTGCATTCAGACATAAATACTGTTTGCAAATTTATTTCAAAGAACTTTTTATTTGGCCTGAGTCTTGGGTCTTGATGTAATCATCTGTCTTGAACATCATCTCTCACTGTCCTGGAAATAATTATTTCCAGCATTTTCTGAGCAAAACAGAAAACAAAGAACTCCTAGATAGACCAGGCACCTTTTCTGTATTGCTTTTCTGCTGATCTTGTCTTCATTTAATAGACCGTGTTTTCTTGAGTACTTCAAAATATTTCTCATCACTTGCCCTCAGAACTGACCTGGTGACCTAAGAATCAAGAAAATGTCATGTTAGTGACTACTAATTAGTGGATCCAGAGAGCTTCTTCTCCTGCCCTTTCAACCTTCCATAGGCAGCAACAAAAGCTGTCACATGTATCATACAAAGAAAACAAGCATTTGCCATGTTTGGTTTTTGGTTTTGGGTTTTTTTTTCCTAAGGTACAGGTAGTACCACAAGCTCAACTGAAACTACAGATGAATTTGTAGGTTAGGAGGAAATTAACCTACAATATTGTGTTTGCATTTATTTCTCATTTTTTATGCATAACATACTGCATCTGTTTTCCAGTTCTAACTGAACATGTGTGTTGTATGCCATATTGCAAGAGGGAAAAAGAATGAATCTTTATTTATTTTCTCTCTTTTTTTTTTCCTTACCATCCTTTGTTTTATTTATTTTTTTAACTACTCAAAATTTATTAAATATTTCTGAAAGGGAATATTTTAATTTTTAGTTTTTCATGTATGGTATACAGTCCAAGCTTAACTTGTCTTTTTTGTATGTTTGTTGAACAAACTTCTTAACAGAAGGTTCAGCCACATTTCCCATTAATTGTTGTACTTCTGCACCTAGTGAGTCATCATGGGTTTTTTGGAACCACCTGCTGGAATGACCATGATAAAACGTGCAGTCACAGCCATGTCACAGAACTGTTTGCGCAAGTACATTAATCTCCTTTTTATTATTTATAATTTTCAGGTCTTTAAAATAGAGGTGCTAATGAGTGGAAGGAAACATTTTGTGGAGAAGAGGTATAGTGAATTCCATGCACTTCATAAAAAGGTAGCAATCTCTTTCTTTATAAGATCTAACTTTTTTTTTGCCTTAGTTATGATGTTTTCCTATCTCTTGAAATTGTTACTATACATGGTTTATCTTAAATACATCTTGTGATTCATGTCTCTGTAAATGAGTTCCCAACTAACTCAGTTTCTTCTCTATTTTGTGGAAAGGTATGATGACTCCTCAGATGTTACTAACTCTCCTTTTCTTTTTGATTATTGTTTACATGCTGTATTGCTAAAATGCTGTCTGTGGTATGTTTTTTTTTTTCTTGTAAAATCACAAAATAAGACACATTCCTATAGCAAATAAATAGTTTTGTTTTTCACCCAAATAGGCAAATAATTTGTTAATTCTATAAATTGTGTTGCTAACCTGCTATTTGTAAAGCTAAGGAAACAACTTGTATACACCAGGAAACTAGACATGAAAAAAACTAATTAGACCATCTCACTCTGCTGCTCTTCATACAATGAATATGATATAAAATACCTGCTAAGCTTGACTACTGAATCATTTTACTAATATATAGAAGGGAACTCAGTACTTTCAAGATTGGTTATCCACTAATTGTTCCTAAAATTGTTTTGATCACTGTTAAAGGAAAAGTATGGTTTTTCCTCTCTAGGCTGAACTGCATGCAGCTATACATTTGTGCAGCTGAAAGCCAAGTTTTAAATTTTTTTTCTGCCTTAAGGAGGCCAAGTATTGTGAAGGGGAATTCTGGAAAAACATTGCAGCCCCTTGCCTGCAGTGAGGCTGCAATGAAAATCTTCAGTCCTTTGTTCCTAGGACCTGGGTCTACTGAACATTTGTTGCTTGGTAGCTCTCGGTGGCAGTGGCGTGTGCGCACACTCAACTGCTCATACTGGTGCTGCTCGCCCTCAGCATGGAAAAGATTCCTCTGCAAATGGCAGAGAGGAACACAGATGTTTGCAGCTCCTCCCAGCGCAGTGTCAGAGGAGCTTACCCACACCAGCATTCATCTCATTCAAGGAAGAAGCATTATTCTGGTGGCAGAGAGGATGGATTTTGCCGGCCTTATATGGTGTATGGACATGAGCAAATTTAGGTCCACAAAAGGCAACTATTGACCCATCTGTGTGTTGGCCCTCAAAAGTCCGAAGAGCAAGAATATATTTTGCATTACTGCACCGTAATTATGATGTGGTAGTGTTTCTTGCCTTTTTGCTTCTTGCCCCAGTTGTGGTATCAGCTGCCACTTTTTAATACTCATTTCCTTGTTTATTGTTTTAATTCAGATATGTCTCAGATACTTTCCCCCTTGTGATCACATTGAATATGATACCACATGAGCAACAGTGTACAACTCACTCACCCACCACCAAGCCTTGCAGTACATATATGCTTTATTTTACACATGAGAATAATCCTGCAATTGAAAGTAGAGCAGGTGAGTAGAGATTATAAAACTAAATAAGTTAGGAAACATTAAAAGGGGAAACTCAGGATTTATATGCTTAACATGCACCCTCTCCAAATAGAATAGAGTATTTTCAGCTGCAAGAGACCTACAGTGGTCATCTAGTCCAACTGCCTGACCCCTTCAGGGCTAACCAAAAGTTAAATCAAATTATTAAGGGCAATGTCCAAATGTCTGTTAAACACTGACAGGCTTAGGGTATCGAACATCTCTTTAGGAAGCATGCACCAGTGTGTGACCACCCTCCTGGTAAAGAAATGCTTCCTAATGTTGTCTGAACCTCCTCTGATGCAGCTTTGAACCATTCCCACACATCCTATCACTGGAACCCAGGGAGAAGACCTCAGCACCTCCCTCTCTGCTTCCTCTCCTTGGGAAACTGTAGAGAGCAATGAGGTCACCCCTCAGCATTCTTTTCTCCAAACTAGACAAGTGCAAAGTCCTCAAGCCGTTCTTCACAGGACATGCCTTCCAGCCCTTCCACCAGCTGTGTTGCCCTCCTCTGCATTCAAGGACTTTCACATCCTTCTTAAATGGTGGGGCCCAGAACTGCACACAGTACTCAAGGTGAGGCCTCACCACAATAAACAGTGAGACAATACCCTCTTCTGACTGGCTGGCTATGCCGTGTTTGATCCCCCCCAGGATGCGGTTTGCCTCTTGGCTGCCGGGGCACACTGCTGGCTCATAGTGAGCTGCTGTTGACCTGCACCCCCAGATCTCTTTCTGCAGGGCTGCTCTCCAGCCACTCCTCTCCCAGTTTGTACTTGTGCCTGATGTTATTCTGTCCTAGGTGCAGGATCTGGCATTAGGACTCGTTAAATTTCATCCCATTAATCTTAGCCCAATGCTCCAATCTATCTAGATCCCTCTGCAAGGCCTCTTGTCCCTTCAGAGAGTCAACAGCACCTCCCAGTTTGGTGTCGTCAGCAAACTTGCTAATGGTGCATTCAACTTCTGTGTCCAGATCATTGATAAAGACATTGAACAGAACTGACCATAGGACTGAGCCCTAAGGAACACCAGTGGTGACTGGTCACCAGTCAGATGTAGCCCCATTCAGTAAGACCTGTTGAGCTCTGCCCTTCAGCCAGTTCTTCACCCAGCGCACCATGAAGCTGCTTATCCCACAGCTGGACAACTTGTCCAGAAGGATGCTGTGAGGGACAGCATCAGAAGCCTTACTAAAATCCAGAAAAAATACATCCACCTCCTTCCCTTCATCCACTAGGTGAATGGTCTTATTCTAAAAGGATATCAAATTAGTAGAACATGACTTCCCCTTTGTGAACCCGTGGTGACTGTGCCTGATGACTGCATTGTTCTTTAAATGCCTTTCAATAGTACCTAGTATGATCTTCTCTATAATTTTTCCAGGAACTGAGGTCAGACTAACAGCATCTGTGGTTCCCTGGGTCTTCCCTCACAGCCTTCTTGTAAATTGGAATAGCACTGACTAGCTTCCAGTCCACGGGCACCTCCCCGGATTCCCAAGACCTTTGATAGATGATCAAGAGGAGTCCTGCCATAACATCCGCTAGCTCCTTCAGTACTCTGGGATGAATCCCATCAGGCCCCATGGACCTGTGAACTTTCAGCTGATACAGTTGGGTCCTTATAATTTCAATGTCCATGAATGGAAAGTCACTGTTCCCACACTCATGGCCCTCCAGCTCCAGTCCAAGGTCTATCAGTATTAGTAAAGACTGGATGCTTTATATAACAGGGCCACAGAGCACAAAAGGATTGTTAATCATCAGTTGAGGAATCACCCACAGAGTATGTGTCTTGTAAGCAGCTAGGCCTTGGTGGATGCTTGTATTGTTCCAGTTTTGTCTCCCCTTATTTGCAGCATTCTCCTCATTTGTTATTCCTCTGCAGGTGCTGTCATAGTTCACAACAGCTGTGACCATAGTTTCTTCAACATTCTCAACCACGTAGACTAGAAAAAATTGGGGTTTATAATCTGGCTTTAAGATTAGTCAGTAAAAGTACATGGGTTTGGGGCTTTGTTTTGGTGGGTTGTTTTTCTCACTTTACATTTAATTTTAATTTAGTATTGTTAAGAAATAAGGAAGTTGCAAAATGTTTCCAGAGCAATTGAGGTTTCCTTGCTGCAGCTTCGTTACTTGTGATTGTAGAGACGTTGATATGTTGGCACTGCTTTTTCCTATAGTGACATCTCAGCAAGCTCAAAGATGAAATGTAAATTCTCAGTCTCCCAGGGGTATGCATGTCAAAGTCAATTTTGAGTTTCTTTCCTTGCATTCCTTGCCTCGGATTTACTCAGAGGCAATATCCAACAGAAAGGATGTCTAATGTCACCTTCCATTAAATAGCAATGGAGTCTATTCCAGTTGTTATTTTTGCTCTGTAGTTTTCAGGAAAACAATATTTTTGTTTGTTTGTTTTGAAAAAAATATGTTGCTCCAGCAAGAGGATTCTTAGTATTGTCAGAATTTATGCTTGTGTCTATCTATATGCACACACATTTCTGTATATGTCTATAAAAGCTTTCCTGTGGAAATCTTTAGAGGAATAGTTATGGAGCTCTCTTGGAAATATATTCAGTGGCAATCTTGCTATTTCTCTGTATGTCAATCCATTAGTGCAATTTGAGAGAGTTGTTGCCATTTTGTTTTAAGGTTATTAGTCACAAGAAATTGTTAGTAGGGTCTCTCTTCACTATCCAGAGCAGCTAGACATGGAGATTTTTAACTGCAACCCATAGGTATGAAGTCTGCTGTTATTTCAGTGAGCTAACGGGCGTAACTTCATTGCTATGCTGTTGTCTTTCATGCGTGGTTATTTTACCTGTACTGCCTCATCTCTAACATAAATGTGTTTATCTTAAAGGGACTCTATTATATTTTGTTTCTACCTGCATTTCTTTTCATTTGCAGCTCAAGAAGTTCATAAGAACTCCAGAGATCCCTTCAAAGCATGTGAGAAACTGGGTCCCCAAGGTTTTGGAGCAGCGACGGCAAGGCTTGGAGTTGTACTTGCAGGTGAGTCTCTTCTCAGAACTGTGAAAATAAAAGCAGCATCCATTTTCAGAGTGGTAGTATCCAAAGCATTTGAAGGTGCAGCAGGTGTGAAGTGGGGTGTTTTATTGATAGGCAATTTGAGAGGTGGGAAATGAGCTGGATACTTACCAGCAGTGATGATTTCTGTTCACTTAGCACACTAGCAGCTAGAAATCCAGACTGTTTTGCATTTTTTCCTGATTCTGGCAGAAGCTGCTGTCTGACTTTGATGAACCTCATTTTCCTAAATGGGGAAAATAATGTTATTCTTTCCAAAGTTGTTCTGACTGTACCAATCAAAAGAGACACAGGAAGGCTTTATTTCACTCAGGTTCATTTAGACAGACTAGGGAAGAATCACCTCATCAAATTCATATCCCTCTACTGTACATGCCTGTATCATCTGAATTGTTCATCTAGTTGAAGCAGGCACCTGTCATCCTATATTCAGCTCATTTGGTTTGGAAACTTGCATTTTAAAGTCCCAGATTTTACCTATTTGGGTTCTGATTTTGCTACAGACAGTAAAAGGAGTCTTTAGGAATGACTCTGACATATAGACATCTAAATATACCAGTGATAATCCCAGCCTTTTTTAATAAACAGAATTTCTACTCTCATGATTGCTTTAAAAATACCCTGTGATATAGTTTCACAGTTATTTCTCTAGTGAGAAATCAAATATATCAAATATATAAATCAATCATATATAATATGAAGTGATATAATTAGAGATACCCTTATGCAAGTGATGTTTTATTGAAGGGGATCATAGAAATTATCTGAGTCAAAAGATACTTTAGGAGGAAGGCAAGAATAAGAGTATTCTATTTTTATTCAGATCAGAGTAGTAGAAATAGTAAAAATGTCAGAGATTTCATTTATGTCCTCATCCACAGTTGCAGTGGCACAACTGGAAGAATGGTGAACTGCAACATAATGGACAGTGAGCTGCATTGATAGAAAATAGATGGTAACCTGCACCACTCAGGAACCTCCCTGATTTGCAGGGAGGTTTGTAAAAGAAAACTGCTTTAAAGAGAAGAATAGAATTATAGGGTGGCACAAGACAGTATTACTTCTGACATTAAACTTTGAAAAAGAAATCTGGAAATAAGGAGAAAAACACAGTTCAGATTTTGTTCTGAGATATAGGGAGCATTTCAAGCAACATTTTTAAATATTTAGTTGGCATTGTTGAAAAAATAATCCTTTTTTTCTTCTTGATCTATTATATTTATAGCATCTTTAGCACCTAAAAGTTACATTTACTGTGTGGGTGAAAAAAAAGATTGGAGAGACTTTGATTTTGAAAAGGAATAGGGCTTTTTGTGTTTTGATGGCTGTCAGCACAGCTTGCTCCATCATCTTACAGCTATTTGCTGTGAATTTTGTGGGGTTTTTCCTGATTTTCATACAACATATATTTGGAGAATATAGCTGCTAACGCATATGTACTGATTTCTTTTATAAGGTTGATTTTGTTAAAAGATACAGGGGTAAATTGGTTAGCACTTTTTAATTGCTGATAAACTTTAAAAGAACATCTCCCCCTACTGGAAGAGTTAGTCAACTCTTGTTCTTGTACAGTCTTGTACATTTAATTCTTTTCCCATCTTCTGTCACCATTGACTGTCATAGAAACACACAATGGTTTAGGTTGGAAGGGACTGCTGGACATTATCTGATTAAAACATGACAAGACTCTAAGCTACATCCATACTAATGTGCATATTAAATTAAAACAAGAACAAAAATCACCAGTATTCTTCTCAAAGTAAGTAATTTCTGGTTTTGCTAACAGAAAGCAGAACTAATCATCAGTGAAATTTTAACTTTTTAAAATGATGAGAGCCTGATTTTAGACAATTAAAAGTTCATATTAATGCACTTCAGCACCAAGCATTTTCCAACACACAGCGTAGGAATGTGCTACAATTTCAGAAGACGTGATGAGTTTTTAAATTAACACCGTGTACATAAAATATTGCAAACATATTTTCAGGTGATACTAATGAGAGTTAATCTGTGACAGCAGTTTGGCTGCTATCATCACTAGTCAGTGGTGGTACTAGTAGCCAGCCATTTGTGCAGCTGGTAAACTATTATGGAATCATGGTAGTAGTTAATTATTTTTTCAAAACCAGCCAGAATCTCATGGTTGAAATGATTGAGCATTTACACAGATGTTACATTCAAATAATTTGGTTTATGCAATACATATTCATTTCTCATTATTGCATTTTGCACCTTGAAAACCTATACAGGCAAGAAGTAATATGCCATGCAGATAGCAGTCAAATACAGACCTGTATCTGACGTAGTCTAATCATATTGGCTTCTTAATATATTTTAATAAAGTAATCCTCTATAATTAAATGCAGATTAAAATAATGACATGAAATTAGAATAGTAGAATCAGTCTGTATCAAGTAATAAAGCAAGCAAGAAATTCTTCTGTCTAAGCAGAAGGTGATGCAGTTGCCAGTACCTTGTCACGTCTTTGTGACCTTTTTGTGATGAAACTGCCCTCTTAAATCCTTTCAGCACAGGTTGGTTGTTTCTTGAAGTGGATGGACTCAGAAACATTTCATTATGTCTTTCTGAAGAACAGCAAAATTATGAATAAGCCAAATATTATTAAATTGTGAGATACAAATAGTCATTTTCTTAAATTTATCAGTATCCACTGTGAGCTAATATTCATCAGATGACTTATTTTTCTCTTGTTTTTGAAAGGTTGAGTGGGGATTTTTTCTTGTAATAGACTAATTTTCGTGAAATTGTGAAAGAATGATTTATCTGTATTATTTTAAGTTACTTGCATATTTTACAAGTTTGGCTGGAATTTACAACTTTTGTTTTTAGTACTGTGGAACAATTGACTAGTAAGCATTAGTATGTGTAGTAATTCAACTGCATGTGTAATAATAATAATAATAATGATGATGATAATAATAATGCAGAGCCCTTGAGAATAGTGAGAACAATCAAATGACTGACAAGAGGAAAGAAGGATTATGTTTAATTTATTAATGAGGAAACAGACGCAAAAATAAGTGAATGACAGAGCATGGCCCCAAACATTCAAGCAAATTACTAAGAAGCAATAAGCTATTGCTCTTCTGATCCATGGTAACTGTGTCTGTGCATGATCTTAACCTACAGCACACGGGACTTAAGTTGAGCTGGTTTAGTCTTCGCTAAATAAGAAAATGCTTGTTACTGACAGTGGAAGAGGACTAAACCAGCTCTTAATTACCTTGTGGTGGCTATCAACTAAGAGTTACCATAAATCAATTAGTCTGTGATGTAAATTTTCATTTAATAGTTACTTATTTATATATCTGAGCTTGTAGCTTGTAATACAGCAGGGATGGGAATCCGGGTGGTTTTGATTAAAAATTTGTAAAATAAATCACCGGATTACACTATCGCTGACAAAAATCGCTCTGATAGTAGTATTAGATTGCACTAAGATTTGAACTTAGCTATGATTTGTTTATGGTTATGAAATGTTTTCTCTTTGACATGTTTTCTGAAGAGTTTGGTGTTGAAAAAAGGTAGAAGATACAGATTTGAGGTAGCTGGTTGTGTAGGGAGCCTCTAATTTGAGAAGGGCTGCCAACTGAACCTGCATTGAAAGTCTGTGACTCCTGATAGCATGTTGATGAGCCTGGAGAAATATGTTTGCTTGACAGTCCCAGAAGGTAAAGTAAGTGTGGAGATGATAGGGCAGACTGTTAATCAGCATTGTAGCTTCTGGGTGGTGGCTGTTCGCTTGGGTTTTTAATTCACTATATAATCTTGGATGGACTGTTTATCACAAAGCAATAGAGAAATATGGTCTGCTTTGGAAGTGTATTTAAAGGAGATATAGATAACTTGAAATGCTCCCTTTTGCACAACTATTGTTGTGTATGAATTCAGTAAGTCATCCTGTGGATGGACCAACTGAACAGGTAGTTGTGGTTTTATTTTGGATGTTGAAGACATTGTTGGGATTCCTAAGGGCAGCACTGGGGGACCTTATCTAATTGCTTATCGAAGCAGCTGCAGCTGCGTTGTCAATCTGATCAGTATATGTTACAAATAGATTTTATATGATGTACACTTGGAGGAGCAGTTTTTATGGAGCTTATTTCCAGTGAATTGGTAATGGGGAAAAATTTGATCTAGCCACCTGCTCTCTACTGATTTGGAGTGAGGTCATATCCTTGTCCCAGTAAGCTGACACTGGATGTTATTGCCATCCAGTCTCTCTGCCCCAGGGACTTGCCCTTTGACAGGTCTGCCTTTTAAAGTTCAATGGAATAGATATTTTCTAACCCCCTTGGGCAGAAGAAATCTCATCATTTGCTGATATCATCAGTCCAGCAAGATAACAGACATCGTTAACAGAATTCACTGTGAAGTAGCACCCACACCTCAGCATGAGACTGTGTAGCTGCTGCTAGTCTTCACTGAAATGATTTGGTTATGGAGAGAGATTTTGGAGGAGGCCCATATTTTTGATGAGCTTGAGGATACTAACTCATTTCTTGTGGTCTGGGTGACCTGAAGAAATTCTTCTAGTGACTGGCAATATAAAACAGAGGGCTGTAAACCTTCTGAACTGCTCTGTATGTATGTACAGTCTGTATGTATGTATGTCTCTAACCGGAGTTAATATGTAGAGCTAATATTTCTCTCAGCTGAGGTCAAGAAAACATACTTGCCTTTTATTTACTCTTGAACTTTTTACAAAGAGAACAGTCCTGATTCCTGGAGATAAGATTGGTTAAAGTGCTGCTTGGCTGTGAGACTTGAAGACTTGAAGAACTTCAACATTCCAGCAGTTTCAGGAATCCAGATCTTCAAAATGAATTATGGAGTTTATGAAACGGGACTAGAGATTTGTTTTCCATTTAAGGAAATAATCTGGAGTTCTGAGAAGCACTTTGACCTATATTTCAGTATTCTTCAAAATGCAATTCTCTTTA